AAAAAAAAAAAATAAAAAAAAAAAAAAAAAAAAAAAAAAAAAAAAAAAAAAAAAAAAAAAAAAAAAATTTTAATAAAAAATTAAATTTAAATTTAAATAAAAAATTTAATATAAAGCTTAATATAACAATAAATTAAAAATTTAACAAGAAAAATAATACTTGGTTATAAAATTAAATATAATATATAAAATTTAATATAAATATTCAAATAAAATAATAAGCATCTGTTGATTAAAAATAGTATAGATTCATATAAGAAAAAAAAAGAATGGTAACATTTTTAAAATATAATAAAAATTATACAACTATAATTAAGTATACAAGTATATAAGTCTAAATATAAATATATTTTTACTTATATATATTTTAAATTTTTAATAAAACATTAATAATAAATATCTTAATTTTAAAAAAAATATAGGATATTTATTTTGAAATTTAATGTATATATGGTTTGAAACCAATTTTTTTTTTTTTTTTTTTTATACATGCGATGCCGCAATAAGAAAAAATAATTTTGTGTATAAAAATAATTTAATTAAATTTTAAATATGAAAAAACAATTTTTATTTTGCATGTATTTTATCTAATATTTTATTTCTTTATAAAAAAGCAAAATATTTTGTAATTTAATAGAAAAAAAAAAAAAAAAAGACCTTTTATCTTATGAATTTGTTATTTATTTATTTATTTTTTATATTTTTATATTATTTAAAAAATAATAATTTTGCTTTAGTATTATAATTTATTTAATTATTAATAATTACATTTTTTTTTTATTTTAGATGGCTTATTATTTTATATATGTCAAGTAATTTAAATTCATACAATTTTTAAAACATTCCAAATTCTAAACAACATTTGTGTAGTTTACTAATTATATATATATATATATTTATATATATATTTATATATATATACATATATATATATTTATTTATATATATATTATATGAGTATATGATCCCTATTATTATTTTATTTTTTTTTTTTTATTTTACTAAAAAATTTTAAATTAAGTTCAATAAAAATATAATTTATAATTTTCATAATTTTTAATTATATATATTTGAAGTATTGTCGTAAATATTATTTTAATGGCTACTAATTAAAAGAAAAAATTATGTTTTAATTTAATAATATGTTACATTTTTTTTTTTTATTATATATGTAAAATTTTAGTTTTAGTTTTTAATATTTATGTTTTTATTATGTTTTATTATTTTTTTTTTTTTTTTTAGTTTTAACTAAATTTTTTTATAGCTATATTTTTTTTTTTAATTTAACATGTTAGTTTTTTAATATTTGTGTTTTAACCTTTTTACAATTTCATAACTTATTTTGAGTGTTCTAAATAATTTTATTTTTTTTTTTTTTATAGAATCCATAATAATTATTTTTATTACTTTTTCTTTTTTTAAAAATTTCTATTATATAGTTTATATATATATTTTTATATTTGATATACATATAGAAGAAAAAAGAAAAAAGAAAAAACTATTTGTTAACAAATGCATAATAAAGAGAATGAATATTTCAAGAATATATCTGAATGTAAATCGAATAAAAATATCTATAATTATGATAAAAAGACAAATATATTAAATAATATTAATTCAGATATAAATAGTTTGTATCATTTAAATAATAAATTAATTTTGAAACCATATAGTGTTAATAATACCTATAATAATAAGAATAATATTTGTAATGTAAAAATTTCAGATAAAGCAGAATATGATATTTTAGGAGATAAAGTTATTGAAAATAATTATAATACTAATTTAGAATGTAAAAAGAAAAACAATATTTATAATTATAAAATAATAAATAGTGTAGGATTTAAAACTAAGGAAAAAGGAACAATAAAAATAAAAGAAAATTACAACTATACAAATAAGTTTAATAGTAACAGTAAGTCTAAAGATTATTTATTTTATTGTAGTCAACTTGAAAGAGAAACAAATAATTTTGCTTTAAAAAATAATCTTTATAATAATAAAAATGTACCAACAAAAGAAGTTAACAAAGATTTCTTAAAAATAAATAATAAAAATCATGTAGAAAAAGATAAAAAAGCTAATATAATTTATTTAAATAGTTCCTTGCTAAACGATCATGCGTATCCCTATATAAATTCCAAAATTTCAAAAAACAGTAATGATAATAACAATGAGCTAAATGAAAAACCTTATACAAATTGTGTAAAATTTTTTGAAGATCTTGAATTTATAAATTCTCAAAAGAAAAATATATTTTCAAAAAAAGAAAAGAATAATAATTATAATAACATTAGCAATAACAATTATAATAATAGCTGTAACCTTAATACGAATAATAATAACATAAATAACAATAATGTTCATATTAACAATGAAAATATTTTTTTAGGAAAATCGTATAATAAAGAAAATAATAAAATTGTGTGTAACGATAATATTGCATCTTTGAATTTAAATAGTAACATATTTATTGACTCTTTGTTAGAAACTAAGGAAAAGTTAGATAATATAAAAAAAGAAAAAAAAGATTATGAAAAGGATGAAAAATATATTTGTTATCTAAAAAATTTTGATAAAATTAAAAATGTATATTCAGCAACCAGCATAAGTAAAATACAAGATAAAATCACCAATAGTATAGGTTTAGATAAAGAAAATAAAAAATTTGAGGAAACTGATATTTGTAAAAAGGAAGAAAAAAAAACTCCTTTCACAAATATATTTGAAGAAAGAAATAATATAGATAAAATAGAAAAAAAAAATGAACAAGAAGAAAAAAATATAAATAAAAAAGAAATAGAAAATAATATAATAAATAAAAAATATTTTTTTGAAAATGAAAAAAACAATATTAACATTGAAAAAAGATATAGTAATTTGGATGATGAAGAAAATAAATTAATAAAAAAGTATGAAAAATATGAAGAAAAAGTTTCATATAAAGAACATGATAATTTAAATATATTTAGGAAATCTTTGAACTCTAAGTCAGATTCTTCAAAAAATTCTTATAACAAAAAACAAAAATGTGTCAAATTAAATTTTTTTTGTAATTCAATAGAAAATGAGAATAAAAATGTTCCTAAAAGGTTATACATAGGAAATAGCATTTATGATGGTTTATATTATAACTCGAAGAAGGAACAAATAACGGAAGAAAAACTGCAAAAAAATGTAACTTCAAATTCAAAAAAAATAATAAATTATGATGAATATAAAATATCTGAATTGAATGATCCTTATTTTAGTAAGAACAAAATATGTATGGCTTGTAATTGTAAGATAAATGATAATTTGAATTGTTCTAATAATACAAAAGATCAAATTATTCGTATGAATGAGAAAAGTAGATTAAATGAGAAAATTAAAAAGGAAATTAATAGAGATATAGTAGATAATGAGAAAAACACACGCAAAAATTTATTTATTGATAATTTCAATTTAAATATTATATCTGATATTGAATTAAATAATAATAAATTTGAAGTTGAAAAAAGAAATTCTTCTGACATTAATAATGTTGATAATACAACCACAAATTATAAAGAGAATTGTATTAGTAATGAAAATGTTGTTTATGATGAAGAAAAAAAAATTTTTAAAACGAAAGAAAACTCAAATATAAAAATATACAAGAGAAGCTTAGAAAAAGAAAGAATGTTGAATTTTCCCTTAATTCATCTAGGAGAAAACGATGTAATAGTTAAAAGAATAAAACTTTATTATCCTTTAAAAGATAAAAATATTTTTACAAATATATCAAAAATTATTTTTATGACAAATATAAATATATGCTCACTATATATAAATGATTCCTTTTTAATTAATTATGATGATATAAAAATTCACTCTTATTTATCTAAAGGAGGTTTCGGAGTAGTTTATAAAGGTATTTTATTGAAAAAAGTTAAAAAGAGTGAATTTCTTTTAAATAAGGAGGAGAATACAGAATACAACGAACATGAAAAAAAAAACGAGCAAGATGAAAAAGAAAAATTTAAAGGAGAAAATGATTCTGAGTCGGAAGATGAATATGAAGAGTATGAGGATGAAGATGAAGAGTATGAAGATGAAGAAGAGTATGAAGATGAAGATGAGTATGATGATGAATATGAAAATGAAGAACAACGTGAGAAACATAAACAAGGAAAGGTGAAGAAAGTTTGTAATGCAATAAATGGAGAGAAACAAGACATACATGAAAATGAAGATAAAGAAAATAATAAAAAAATATCAGATATATTTTACAAAGAATGTATAGAAGAAAATGAATTTTTTAGTGTTATTAATAATGAAGAAAATATAAATTTAGAAACAAAAACTAATGAAAAAACCACGAGTAATAACAATTATAGTATTAAAAAAAAAAAAAATAGTATTAACAACGAATTTCATAAAGTAAATAAAAGTAATAAAAAATTATGTTATTTACGTAATAAATTAATAGAAAAAATTTTTGATGCATTAAACAATCAAACGAATCAAAATAGTTCAAATATAAGTAATAAAAATGGAAAAGATAAATGTGATTATAAGTTAGAAAATGCAGAAAATAAAGAAAAATATATTATTGAAAATGTTATAAAAAATTTAAACGATTACAACACAAATAACAAGAATATGAAAAAATATGTAGAAAATTTTAATAAAGAAATTGAAGAAGTCATTTTAGAAAATAATAATAATGACAATATTTTTAATAAAAATATAGAAAAAAATGACAAAACTAAATATACTAATGATAATGATGAAACAGATGTTAATAGTAAAAAAGAAAACAAAAAAAATAATTCAACAAAAAAAACAACAAAAAAAGATTGCATTCATGTTCATGAAATAAGAAAACTTAAAAAAAAAATGTTAAAATTCATTCATTCAAATAAAAAAAGCGATAAAATTAATATTGATAGAAACGACTTTTTTAATGAGGCACAAAAAATAATATGTAAACTTAAAAGCATAAATAAAGATATTGATAAGAAATATTACGAAGATCTTATAGGATATTTATTATTAGATGTATATCACAATAATATTGTTTATAAAAATAATTTTAGTTTTTTATATGTAAATAGCAAAAATATAATAACTTTCGGATTACACAAAGAAGGTTTATATATATTTGATAAAAAAAATATATTTCATTATTATAGTGATAAATGTATATTTAAAATTATCTTTATGGATGATCATAAAGAACTAATAAAATTTAAAAATTTCACTGTTTATAATGTTTTAAATAATGATAAAATTATTAATAATTCCTCCATATTGAAATATGAAATAAATAAACACAAAAAAGGTTTAAATAAGTTAGCAATTATTCCATTTAGTAAACTGAGCATCAATCATTTGTTAAATGCATTAATTTTTAGTTTTTTAAAATTTCTTTTTAATTTAAGGAGAAAATATTATAAACAATCAAAAAATTGTCCCTGCTCCGTTGGTGGTAATAATATTTTAAATAATATTATTATAGATAATAATATTATATACAACAAATATAACAGTAAAATTACAAATAAGGAGAAAAATAATAATTTGAATAAAGAAAATGAATCTATTTTATTATATGAAAATATTGATAATTTAGATAAATTTTTATATTGTGAATATGAAAATGCTGAATTAAATAATATAACTAATGGAAATGCAAAAAAAAATTTTTTTAAAAAAAATGAAATAGAAAATATACAAGAAAATCATGTAGATAAATTTGATAATAAGAGTAAGATTAACTCAAGTAATTGCATTATTACGAGCACCTTATTGAACACAAATTACACAGATGAGTCGAAAACAACTATTTTATTGAATGTATCAAAGAATAAAAACATATCTAAAGAATATATAAATGAAAAAGAATATCATTATATACCAAAGCTAAATGAAAATGATGATATGATTAAAGAATCAAATACAAAAAAAGAATTAAAAAAGAAAAAAAAGAAAAAAGAAAAAGAAAAGAAAAATGAAAAAGAAATAGAAAAAGAGAAAGAAAAAGAAAAAGAAAAGAAAAATGAAAAAAAAGAGATTGATATTGACAAAGAGGAATTAATGTATATGAAAATACCTGTAGCTATTAAAATACATGACTTAAAAGATAGTAAAAATTTAAAAAATTTTTTAAGAGAAATAGAAATATATAAGAATATTCAATATGAGAATATATGTAAATTTTATGGGATATGTATAAAATCAAACAAATTAATGTTATTATTGGAATATTATCCCAAAGGAAATTTATTTAATTTTTTAAAAAATAAAAAGAAAATCCATAAAAAACAAAGGTTAAAATGGGCTACTGAATTATCTTATATAGTTCATCAATTACATTCACATAATCCACCAATAATAAATGGAGATATAAAAACATCAAATATCTTAATTGATAATAATATGAATTTAATTATGTGTGATTTCGGAAAAGCACGATTTAAAAATTCAAAACTATACAGTAATTTTGGTTCATATAGATATATGGCTCCAGAGACTTTTAGCTGTACTACTGAAATATCTGAAAAAATTGATATATGGAGTTTAGCTTGTTGTATTGTAGAAATATTTTCAAGTAAGTATCCTTTTTATAATTTTTCGAAAAATGTGAAAATTCGTCATGAATTATTAGTTAATAAAAGAACTCCACATATACCTAATTTTTTACCTAATTCTATAAAACAAAATCTAGAAAGATCTTTTAGTTTTATACCTGAAGAAAGACCAAAAGCTTATGAAATATATAAATCATTAAAAAAAATTAAAGTAGTAGAATAATTATATACTTATATAAATTTTTAAATTATTAAACAGAGGTCTATGTTAGTAGATAAACAAATAAACAGTTTTAGATAAATAACACAATAGAAAAAAAAAAAAAAAAAAAAAAAAAAATCATTAAAATAATCTCCTTTGTTACAGTTAAACTTTTTATTTTATAGTATAAAATAATGTTTATCTGTATTGAATTGCATGTATATATATTATAGATTATTATAATAATATCTTTATATGTTTTTAATTTTATTATATCAATTTTTTTTTTTTTTAATAATTAATATATTTTGTTTTATAATTATTTAATAGAAGTACATATATATATGTGTATATATATGCATAAATTTTTTCGTTTTAATTGTTTTTACATTTTAAAGATCCAATTGAAAAATTCATTTATTTATGCATGTTTGCTACAATGAATACTCTTTTTATACAATTATAAAAAAGAAAATAAAATATGTTATTTTTTTTAAGAAAATTAAATTTACATTTTAACGAATTATTAATATTTTTAACAAATCCATTTTTAATATGTAAATAATAACATTTAAAATACAGAAATCACAAAATATAATTTTTTATATATTTTAAAATTTTATAAGATATTTTTTCTATAAGTTAACATAAATCTTTATTTTAATGACATATAAACTTGTGATAAAGAAAAAAATTAAAATTTTTTATATTCAAAAATAATATAAATTTTTTTTTTTTTCTTTCCCTTATATTTAAAAAATATTCCCAAAAAAAAAAAAAAAAAGAAATGTTGGAAACATATTTTCCTTTTTATTATATATAGCAAAATGAAATACGTTAATATGAAGTTGATAAATATGATATAATTAATTATAAAATATATAATAAGGTATTATTAAAAATAATTTTTTAAAAATGAAAATATTATGAGAAACAAAGAAATAAAAAAAAAAAAAAAAATATACAAAATAAAAATGCATTTAAAAGAATAATAATACTATTCTCTTAATACAGAAAGATAAATATAAATATATGAAAAATGGTATATTAAATAATTATGATGTTCTTCATACTTTTCATGAGTGAAAATTTTATAGTAAAAATAATAATCAAAATAATTATTATTTTATATTATTTTCCATGAGAGGAGAAATTCAAAATGTTTTATATACTTTTTTTGAAGCAAAATATTGCTAATTTTTTTTAATTTTGTATACTTTAAATATGTTAAGTTGCTTTAACAAGGCTTATCTTAAAAATACAAGAGAAATTAGTAAGGATTATTTATTATTTATCCTTATGAAAAAAAGTAATTTTAGTTATATAAGAAATACAAACACAAATACTAAAAAAATAAATGAAGAATATAAAAATATACAACGTGTCATTCCTTTAAATGAAAATGAATTATTAAAGATAAGAAATATACTAATTAAAATAACAAATGAAAAACATATTTTTCACAAAATTGTTCATTTCTATAATATTCCATCGTTTTTTATATTAGATAATGATGTTAGAAACCACTTTTTGAATTATCTTAAAGAAGATTTAACATATGCCTATGAACTAAGAGAATTTATAATGAATAAATATGATGATAGTAAAGAAGAAGTTGTAGATTTAAAAAAGAAAAAAATTGAATTAAAGAATGAAAAAGTAGATGATATTAAAAAAGAATTAGAAAATAAAATGAATGACATAAAAGATAGAAAATATGAAAAAATTATAAATATTTTACAAACTTTTATAAAAAAATATTATTACAGACAATGGATTTTTTATGAACAAATAAAAAAATTATGTGATTTTACAGAAATGAATGAATTTATAAAAAATAGAAAAAACAAAAATAAATCTAGAAAATTATATTTATATGTTGGACCAACGAATAGTGGAAAAACACATGAAGCATTTAAGAAATTAGCTGAATCAAAAAACGGATTATATTGCGCACCTTTAAGATTATTAGCATGGGAAATACATAATAAATTAATAGAATTAGATAAAGTTACAAATTTATTAACAGGACAGGAAGTAATTAAAAAGGATAATAATACACATACTATATGCACAATTGAAATGACTCCATTAAATAGAAATTATGATTGTGCAATTATTGACGAAATTCAAATGATTAATAATGGTATTAGAGGGCACGCATGGACCAATGTACTTATAAACTTAAATTGTGAAGAAATATACTTATGTGGTAGTGAAAATGTTCTACACTTAATTAAGAATTTATCTGATATTCTAAATGATCAATTAGTTATAAAGAGATTCAAAAGATTATCAAAATTAGAACTACAAGAAAAAACTGAAAATTTAGAAAATGTTAAAACTGGAGATTGTATAATAACTTTTTCAAGAAGTAACATAATGTTATTAAAAAGAAGACTAGAAAAATTAAATAAAAGAGTTTTTGTTATATATGGGAATTTGCCTCCTGAATCAAAAAAAAAACAAATAGAGTTATTTAACTATTATTGTCAAATAAACAAAGAAAGTAATGAATACAGTAATAATAATTTGAATAATAACATAAAAAATGCTGATATGAATGATGAAAATATAGAAAAAGAAACAGTTTTAATTGCTACTGATGTTATAGGTATGGGGTTAAATACTCTTATAAAAAGAATAATTTTTTATTCTTTGAAAAAATATGATGGAGATATTTTGAGATACTTATACATTTCAGAAATTCTGCAAATATCGGGAAGAGCAGGAAGGTTTCAAGAAAATTGTGAAAATAATATAATTGGATATATCACATGTATTCATTTAGATGATTTAAATATTTTAAAAACTCTTTTTAAAAGTAAAAATATAAATAATTTTATTAGTAATGATATAGAAAATTCTATATTGAATATTAATGCAAATGATAATTCAAGTAACTTGGATTGTAATACAATGAACTTTTGCAGCAATACATATAGATGTGAAGGAGGTGATTTTAGTGTAAATGATCGTAATACGAATACTGTAAATGATAGTGCTAGTTTATTAAATTCTAAAGGAAATTCTGAGAATCTTGAAATTTTTTTAAAAGAAAATGAGTGCAATTCATATCCTCGTGCAGGATATTTTCCAGATTTTAATACGATTGATAATTTAGGAAAAATATTAGAGTTTGAACACAATGCAAAAATAAAATTATATGAAATTTTGCAAGTATTGATTGATTATTTAAAATTAAACGAAAGATATTTTTTTTTAACAAAAAATTATAACCAAATGATATTCATTGCCAAACTTTTAGAAAGCATTAACTTAGATAAACATATATTATTCATATATACATTATCACCAATTAATATTAGTAATGTAGTTATTTTAAATATTTTGAAAGTATTTTGTATGTGTCATAGCTTATTAGGTTATGTTGATTTTTTTCAATGTATAAATAAAAATTTATTGCATACTTTAAATGCAAAAGATAATTTTAAAAGCTTATCTAATAATTCTGAACATGAGGAAAAGAATCAATTCTTTCAAAATGATAGAAATACAGAAAATTATTTTAAAACAATATCCGATGAATATAGTAAATGTACAAACTCTAATAATTGTAATAACTATATATTTAATAATAATATTATATTAAATGCTTTAAGTGAAAATAAAATAATAAAAAAAGACTTACAAAATGAAAATATTAATAATAATATAAGTTTTGATGAATATATTCAAATATTAGAAGTATATTATGAAATAATTGATTTATATTGCTGGTTAAATACTAAATTTCCTGACATTTATAAAAACATAGATTTAGTAAATGACGAAAAAAAAAAAGTTTCCACAGAAATTATTAATATGTTAACACAACCGTTAAATGAAAATGAAACATGTGTTAATAAAAGTATACATTTAAAAAAATTTGATACATATTATGTAGGACATTAAAACCCTTAAGAAAAAAAGTATAATCATAAATATGTATATTATTATAGGAACAAAAAGGAAAAAACATAAACGTTTATTTTATATATTTTAATTTTATTTTTATATATTTGTTTCATTATCATTATTATTTATGTTCATATTTTCTGATGGAAGAGGGGGAGGATTTGTTTCAGGAGCAGCTGCATGAATTAATGCTTCGTCTGAGTAATTCATAGGCATTTGTGTCCAATCTAAAAAAAAAAAAAAATATATATAAATGTATATATAATAATAATATAACAAAAAAAAAAAAAAAAAAAAAAAAAAAAAAAAAAAANAAAAAAAAAAATATAAAAAAAAAAAAAAAAAAAAAAAAAAAGAAAAAATAATAATAATAATAATATTTACATATATATATATATATATATATATATATATATATATATATATATATATATATAGTATTGTATAAAATAATATATTTGCATATATATTTTTAGTTTTTATATTTACTTTGAAAATTTTGCATGTATAACGGATCTATAGGTATTTGATGATTATTTGGAAATGACATTGGATTATTTTGAACCATTCTATTATTTATAAATGGGAAATTAAAAAAGTTAGGTAATATTGGTAAAGGAGGATTTAATGGCATATTATTTATATTTGGAAAATTCATCATTGTATTGAAATTTTTCCCATTAGAATTTCTTATAGGAGGAGGATTTCTATTATTTGCATGAGGATCATAATAATTTGGTGAATTTGTATTTCTTTTTTCATCAATAAAAGTACTATTATTTTGAGCAATTGGAATAAAATTAGGATTATTAATATTTTTGTTATTTACTGGGGGCATCATATTATTGAAACTTTTATTAGTATTTTGTAAATTATTTTGAAATTTATTATTTGAATCTACATAATTCATTGTGGATTCATTAAAACTATTATTATTTGCTTCATTAAAGTTATTAAAATTATTTGTTGATTTCATAAAATTATCATTAACATTACTATTATTGTATATATTGTCGTTTGATTTTTTATTTAATTCATCATTTTGTTGATTATTATTATTTTTATCTGTACTTATTTCACTCATCATTTTTTGGTATTCTAAATCCATTTTGATTTTATCAAATTTATTAGTCGAGTTATACTGATGATTTTTCATTGGATCAAAAGGGGGAGGTGGCATATTAGTATAAGGTGGTGTTGGAATATTATTAGGGTTATCAATATCATTTTTCATGTAATTTTTTTGTTTAGCTAATTTGCAATCAAGAGTAATATGACCATGATCTCCACATAAGTTACATTTAATTTCTGGTTTTTTGAAATTTTGTAAATTCATGTTTTCTGGGCATTCAAAAGTTAAATGAGTCATAGAATTACAAATGGAACATCTTTGAGTATCTAATTGATTTAAATTTATTCCATTAACTAGTGCTAACTGTTCTAATCCTTTTCTTTTGTATTCTTCATGCAAAGGATGAAAAGGATCTAATAAGGGTGTAATTAAACTTACAGCCTTTTCAACGCATTCTTCACTATCAGCTGATATATGAACATGTTTCGGCATATTAGCTTCTATTTCTGTTTGATGATCTGTTTTTTTTCCTTCTTTTTGTGTTCCCTTACCTCTTATACTAATCTGAGCCCCACTTTCTGCTTCTAATCTTTTATGATTACAACCCCTAGGTCCAATAATTAATCCCATAAAATTATATTCAGGATATTTATCTATTGGTATTTCAATTTTTCTAATTTTTTTTATTGGTTTATAATTAGATGGTGCAACAAATCCTTCTACATGCTTTAATAAATATTCTACTAATCTATGGTGTTCTTCAATCATGCTATTTTTAATTCTTGCTTCTCTTGTATTTATTCTACTTCCATTCTTATCATAGATAGGAGGTGGAGACGCTGGTCTGATGTCTGGATCTACATATTCTAACTCTCCTTTATTCAACTTTTTAGTTAATTCATCATATCTCTGTTCTCTTAAAAATTGATCCAATTGAGAAGGAGTTAACCCTGGAGGAAAATCCACAAAAGGAAGTGGCAAGTAGGGTTTATGTTCTTCTGAACCCCATTTGCTTGGAATTATTTTATTTTCTATATTATTATTTGATAAATTATTTTCCCATCTAGACTTCTTTTTTGAATTTTCATCACTTAATTTTTCTACAGGAGATATATTAACAAGGGCTACTAGAGGATCGTAATACATCTCAACAAATATATATTCACTTTTTATATTTTATTTTATTTTTTTTAAATTATTAAAAAAATATTTTTAATTTAATTTTAAAAAAAAATGTATTAAAATAAACTTTTAAAAATACACATATTTGCGCAAATATATATATATATATATATATATATATATTTGTTTATTTATATCAATGGTAACATAATGCATATATACTTATGTATATTTGTGTATATATATTATTTTTTTTTTATTTGCAAACTTTATATTCAAAAACTCCATAATACATGATTTTTCTATATTCATTTTAATCCTCATTTAATAGTTTACCTAAATATAAATATTTAATTCATTCTTTTTTTCCCCCACCTTAAACTTTATTTTTATTATTTTTTTATATTTCATATAAATAAATGTTTGTATATAGGTGTTTGTATAATTAAAAAAATGAAATATTTCTTTTTTAATATTTATAGCAATTCATAATTATTTATAAAAATATCTGTTAACTTTTTATTTTATATTTTTTAAATTTTAAATATTTCATTTATTAAATATATATATTTTTTTTTACCATAATCCTTTTATATATTTATGTAAAAATAAAATTAAAAAAGAAAAATATTATAAAAGATTAAATGAAAATCAATTTATATGTATTTTTTTTTTTTTTTTTTTAGTGCTTAAAATTATTTATTTTCGATGCATTTTTAGTATTATAAAAATTTTAAAGTTTATTAAAACTTTTTTTTAATAGAGAAAAAATGAGTTATACAGATTTAATACTTCAATGATATTTTTATTATTTAATAAATTTTTTTTTTTCTTTTTTTTATTTTATTGTCAAAAAATTTTAAAGCAAATTAAAAATTTCCATTACGACATAATATAGATGTTAAATTTTAAATTAAATCTTTTTGATCGGAAGGAAAAAAAATAGTGGTAATTATCAAAAAATACTTTTAGTAAATGATAAATTAACTTAAAAAAAAAAAAAAAAAAACTCTTGTATCAAAAAATTACCTAATTAAGCAGTTAATTTTAAATTGACAGCAATTTAAAATTTTATCTTAAAAAATTTACTACAATGAAAATATTATAAAGGTGTGTTTTTGGATATATTCAACATTTTATCAATTCTTTTTTACTTTTATGAATTTTTATAATTTTAATACAAGTATTTTAATTAATATTTCAAAATGAATTTTAATATTTTTATTATTTTCATGTATATTGTAGTTCTAATGGAACATAAAATTTTAAAAGGTTAAAAAATAATAGCTAATATTAATTTAAAAAGAAAATAACTGAATATACATATTCATTTTTATCAATTTTGTATTTTATTAGGTGTATATGGGTTAAAACACATTTGTAAGTTAAGTTATATAAATTTTAATGGGTTTCTTCATCTTAAAAGTAATAGATGTTTTTCTAAAACAGATGAAAGTTTATATGATAGATGGGGTATTAAACCTTTATGGAATTCAAAACCTTTTTCATTAATTAAATTACCTTTCGTAAATATAATTTTTATAATCATATATAAACCCAATATATATATACACTTCTAAAATATAAATATTTATATCTATCTATCAATCTATCTATCCATATGTATATATATATATATTTATATATATTTATTTACATTTTATATATATTTTACAGAACCCACAATCCATGTCACCTTTCTTAAGTGAAGAAGCTATAGAATATCATTACAGCAAACATCATGCTACTTATGTGAAGAATTTAAATAGTATACAAAAATAATATAAAATATATATGTGCTTATATTAATGCTTATTGTGTTTTTTATCTTTATTAAAATATTTAAATTATTAACTTTTTCTTTAACATTCTTCTACATATTTTTTTAAGATTTAGCAGAACAACATGTTGAAATAAAGAATTTAACATTAGAAGGTATGTAGATATTTTAGCTGTTATGTTATTAATAAATATTATTATAAAATTTTAGAGATTAATATTAGAAAAGACATATATTATTCATTTTAAATAATATCATATTTTTTTTTTTTTTTTTTTCGAAACATTTATAAGAATATACATAAATACACATTTATCTTATAGATATAATAACAAAATATAAAGGATCCATCTATAATAATGCAGGTAATATTCTGGTAATTTTAGAAATCACATAATGTAAAATATTATGTTAAAATATATTGAAATATATACTTTTTTAAATTCATGATAATATATATATATATATATTTCTTCCGTATTATTCTGTTAAATTTTTGAATTTTTTTTTAAAATATGCTTCTTTTATTTTTTTTTTTAGCACAAATTTTTAACCATAATTTTTTTTGGATGGGATTAAAGGAAGAAGGAGGGGGAAAACCATATGGTGAAATAAAAAAAAAAATTGAAGAATCATTTAATTCTTTTGAAAACTTTAAAGAAATATTTTTTAAGGAAGCATCAGGTATTACATAAAACCAATGCAATATTATGAGAATTTTTTTTCTAAATGTAGTTTCTTATTATCATTATAATTCAGGCCATTTTGGAAGTGGATGGATATGGTTAATAATAAAGGATAAAAAATTAAAAATTTATCAAGGACATGATGCTGACAACCCTATAAAAGATGATGTTGGAAATCCAATTTTAACTTTAGGTATATAAAAAATAACAATGAAAATGAAAAAAAAAATTAACATATAATTTATTGCTTATATAAAAATAATTTGAATATAGCAAAATTATAACAATATTTTAAAATAAATAATTAAGAAGACATCCTTTAGAAAAAGTATTTTTATACTTAAATAAAAAATTATTTTAAAAAAAACATTCAAAAAGTCATAAAAAAAAAAAAAATATATATTTATGAGCCTAAAAGGCTAACGTATATAAAAAGAATAAAATGTTTTTAATACAAGATGTAAAATTTATATAAAATACGTAAAATTTTAGATTTAACTAAAATAATAAAAATAATTAATTATATTAATATCTTATCTATAAATAACTCAAAGAATTTTTAAAAATTAAAATTTATAAATTTATAAATTACATATATATATATATTTTTTTATAAAGATATATGGGAGCATGCATATTATGTTGATTATAAAAATTCTAGAGCTGATTACATAAAAGGTGGGAAAACAAATTTAAAATATAAATTATTAATTACACAAAAAATTTTTCAAAATTTTTTTATATATATTTGAAAATATATATTTTACTATTTTGTCTATTAATAATTGAAATTTTTTTTTTTTTTTTTTTTTTAGAATGGTTTAATAAAATAAATTGGGATTTTGCCAATTATAATTTATCTATTGTAAATTAAGTTAAAAATCATATTTTTTTATTAATTATAAATTTAATAATTCGAAAAAAAAAAAAAAAAAAGAAAAAAAGTATGTCCTTAATTTTATAATTTAATAATTTTTTTATTAAAAATATTTCTAATTATATGCATTTAAATACGTTTTGAATTTGTAATTTAAAATATATATACATGTATTTATATATACATATGTATACCTTTTTCGAAACATATGAAAATTATAGATGCAAATTTAGTAAGCATCTTAGATTTGTATTAATCTGCTTCTCTGACACATCGTTCTAAATATATATATATATATATATATATATATATATATATATATATATATATATATATTAGAAATATAATAAATCGTATATCTTATTTTTTTTTCCAAAAAATATCGTATTACTTATCTAAAATTATTCAATAATAATTTAAAATTAAATGCATTTTTCTGTAATTTTTCTTTTTTAATTTTTAATAAAAAATATTTGAAAAATAAATCTTTAATATTATTTCACATTATTCCTTTTATCTTTTTTCTTTTTTCTATTTTATTGTAAGATTTTTTTTTTTTTAAATAGAAAAATGTAAAAGGTGTAAAATGATGAAGATATGTGAAAAAAATAAAGAATAAAATAACATTTAATATAGTGAAATAAAATAGAAGTGCAGTACCTACGAAAACTTTTATATTGTATTTCCTTTCTCTTTTAAATTATAATTTTTTTAAAAATCTAATTTTTTTTTTTTAATCAGCATATTTCAAAAAATAAAAAAGATAAACTAATAGCAATGTATCATCATCGCAACCCAATGCATCTACTGTTTTTTAAAGTATTGCATGTATTTTAATACATTTCTAATGTAAATATATATTTTGTGCTTTCATTACATTTTTTTTTTCTATGCTAATAATAGCATTTCATCAACATTCTGTAGTAAATTGTATTCTTTAAAAAGCACCGTAAATAAAAAAAAACCATGATAGTTTTTCCCCCTATGTTTAATGAATTTATGTGGCAATCTATGTGTTATTTATAGGAAGAAAAAAAAAAAATATTCTGATTTTTTGTATATTTCTACTTTTATTATTTTCATATCATCTTTTAACAATTAATATGTATACTATTTACTTTGACAAATTTAAAGATCTAATAAAAATATAATTCTTAAAAACTAATACAATTTTTTTATCCAGTTTTATTGTAACCAATTTTATTATTTTTTTTTTTTTTTTTTATAATTATAAAGATCATATTTTTTATTTTTACAATTTAGAAAAATAAAGATTATGTAAATACAAGAATACATATATCATTATTATATTTTAAACATTCTTCTCTTTTTTTATTATTTCAATTTTTATATCCTTCCATAATTTCATCTATTCCTTTTTTTAATTGAGTAGATACAAAAAATAAAAAATAATAAAAAGCATTACAAAAGAATTTTCTTTCAATTATCATGTTCTTTTTTTTTCCCCTGTACCAATAATTAAAAAAAAAAAATTAGAGTAACATAAAATCCTAACATATATAACATAATAAAAAATATTCATAATTAAAAATTGTGAAAATAAAAAATGAATATTCAACTAAGAGACTTAAATTTAAAAGAAGATGATAAAAAAAATATAAAAAATAAAAGAACTATTCATGTGAAAAACACATATATATCACCATATGTTCTTTACAACAAAAACTATAACACTGATCAACTGAAAAAATTAAATAAAATATTTTCAAATGAAAATTGTATGGTTATAAATAAAAATAGCAATTTTGTTAAGGAAAATTGTCATGAAAAAAAAATATTAAGAAATGAAATTTTTAATAATTTATGTACTAAATCTCTCGAAAATAGGGATGAAGAATATAAGTTAAATACAAATACGAAAATGATACAGATGAATTCTGAAAAAGGATATAATAAAGATAATGAAAGAATAATAAATGAAAATAATGATTTATTATATAACTTAAAGAAAATTAATATTTGTAATTATGAGGATGATAATAAAAGTACAAAAATTGTTTTCAAATCGAATGAATTAAATAACTACAACAGGATAACTAATAGTGATAATACTAGTAAAAAAAATTACAACATACATGAAAATACTGAGTCATATTTCACTTTTCCAAACAAAACTTATCTTGAGGGTGTAACTTTACGAAATAACATAACGTGCAATATAAAAAATAACGTTGATTTTAATGATAACTATAATTTAAGAAAAAGTTCCCCAACAGACATAATATATAAATGTGAAGATTCAATACCTCTTGGAACTATATTAAACATTCATAATTTAGATAGTAGCAACCATCTTACCACAGTTATGCTTAGAAATATACCTAATAAGTATACGCAAAACATGTTAATGGCTGTTATGAATGAACATTTTAAAGGGCTATATGATTTTTTTTATTTACCAATTGATTTTCGTAACAAGTGTAACGTTGGATATGCGTTTATTAATTTTATTCATCCACATTATGCTGAACTATTCATAAAATTTTTTAATAATTACAAGCTAAATGCTTTTAAAAGTAATAAAGTTTGTTCAGTCACATGGGGTAGAGTACAAGGTTTAAAAGCAAATATTGAGCATTATAGAAATTCAGCAATCATGACTATACCAATACCTCAATATAAACCTATTCTTTTTCAAAACGGAATAGCTGTTTCATGGCCTGAATCAGACGGACCTTTACCAGCCATTAAATTAAGATCTCAAAAATATTAAAAAAAAAAAAAAATATGTACATGTATTTAGTGAATGCATAAATAAAAATACAAGAGCAATATTTCTTTACATTTAAAATATATTCATAAATATGTATATTTTCATCTATTTTTTTTTTTTTTTTAAAGCTTACATTGTCATATATTTTTCCTATAAAAAATTTATTATTCTTATTTTGAAGCTGTTCAAAAAATCATTATATAAAAAGAATTATTACTTCTTAGTTTTTTGCACATATTTTTTTATTTTTTAGATAACTTTTATTATTTTTATTTTTTTTTTTTTTTTTATTTCCCGCATTATGGAATAAAGTGTTTAAATAATTATTTAAAATATGTGAAAATAAAAAATTTTTATATAGTAAAAAAAATGTACAAAAATTATGCATGTACTATAATATATGTATAAATATATTAATGTTTACTTATTCTATTATATGAACCAATTTTTATCTCTAAAGAATAAATGAAACATTTAAGAGTTAGTAATAATATATATTGCATTTATATGTATATAAACGTCAGCTTGTAAACATATAAGTACATTTTAATTCAATTTTATAAGGTTCATTTATATATAATTATATCTTCTCTAAATAATATTTTACACTAATTTTAAAGATAAAAATATACTTTTTTTTTTTTTTTTATCATCTTTTTTTTATTAAGTGAACAAAACTTCTGAATTTGCATATTTTCCATGTTTCTAATGGATAAATCTAAAGGCAATTTTTTTTTTATATTTATATAAGTCATTGATAAGATTTTTTTTTTTTAAAAAAATTTATTTTTACTTCTATTTATCATAAATTATATAATATTTTGAAATAAATTTTTATAATTTTAAAGTGAAATAACTCTATTATATCTAAAATTGTAGTGGTAATCATTTGGCAACTTAATATTTTTTATATTTATTTATTTTATAATAATATAAAAAAAATTTTTGTTGCACTTTTACTGAATAGCATATTTAGGAGAATAACAGCATTTAAGTTTTAGAGAAAATAATTAATATATATAAAAAAATAAAGGATACCAATTAGAAAAAATATAAAAATAAATATTTAAATTATACTCCGTCTTAATTTTGAAAAAATATGTATAATTTATATATATATTTATATATGCATCCTTTAACTAGTAAATTCTTTAGAGTAAAATATTTCCTCTTTTACTTTTCTTTTAAATTTAAATGTATATTATTTAACAAAATTTTACTCATTTTTAAATTGAAAATTACCTCTTAAAAAATTAATTTTACATTTTTCCAAACCAAAAAAAAAAAAAAAAAAAAATTAAATTATTTAATATTTTTTAAATATAATATAAACTAAAGCTACAATACGTTCGTATTTTAATTAAAATTTTTTTTATTTTCTTGATTTGATATTAATTACATATAAACAAATGTTTTGAACAGAATCATTCTTTTTATTAACTGTAATTTTCCTTCCATAATGTACAATTACTGAAAGCCATAAATTAATATTTTAATTATTTTAAATATCATAATTATACTATTTTTTTTTATTCATATACTTAGTAATTTCATATTATTAATTATTGAAATATTTTTTTTTATTTTATTTTAATTTCTATTATGTAAATATACAAAACATAAAGAACAATTTTGTATAATTTAGTTTAAAATTAAAAAAAAGAAAAAATATATTAATAAAATAAAATTCATTAAGGTTTTTATTTTATATATAAAAAAGAAAATAATTTATTTAATAATATTTTTGAAGTTAGCATACTTTTATTATTCAAATAAATATATATTAGGAAGTGATATCTATATATTTTGTCCTTTTTAATAGAAATATATTTCACTTTATTATCATTTATAATATCTTTATGTAATTTAAGGTATCGTTTTAATTTTTTTTTTTTTTTTAATTGCACGTTATGATTAGACATTGTTATTTAATTATTAAATTATTACTATTTTTTTATTTTCTTGATAAAATTCATATTTTTTACTGTCAAAATTGTGATGGACAACATAACTGTAAAGATAAATGTCTTATGTTAAGTGATGATAAAAAGGTATGTTTATGTAATTCTAATGAGAAGGGGATATATTGTAAAGCAAAATGGAATGTTTGTGAAAACGATTGTAACATATTAGGTATCAAAGAATCATGTTCTGTTGCTTTGTGTAAAACAGGTGATATACATTATTTATTTTTACTCTTATTCTTCTTATTTTTTTTTTCTTTTTTTTTTTTTTACTTTTAATATTTCATGAAAAAAGATATATAAAACAACATATATATATGAATTCTCATTTAATAAGGAACTTGTAATCCAATTGAAACAAAACCATATTATAAATGTGAATGTGGCGATTTTTTTAAAGGAAAAAATTGCGAAATTGAAAATAATCCTTGCACATTTCCTGAAACTAATCCATGTTTAAATGGTACATGCATTTTTATTGCTAAACTTAATAGAATTATTTGTAAATGTAACAATGGATGGACACAAAAAAATGTTCAAAATTCATCCCTGTTAAATTGGGGAAATCAAAAGGTGGAAGTACCTCCACCTTGTGATGGTTAAACGAGGATTATTCTAAAAATTATTTAACTAATACATTAATATTATTATTCTCAAAAATAATTTTTTTTTTTTTTATATTTTTATAGAACAAATAAAAAGAGGGTTATCAAAATATGTTATTTATCATACACCTGGTTAAAATAATATTTTTTATTTTATTTTTTTTACCTTAAATATTTACTTTTCCTTTTCTGTATGTTTTCTTTATTTTCATTTTTTTTTTTTTTTTTTAATTGTAGCTTCTTATGCCATGTGGTGGCTGATATATGTAATAAGTGTACTTGTATTATTCTTGTGTTGTTGTAATGTATGTTTCGATATTTTTTCGAATTCAATGTTAAGTTATTTTGGAGGATTTAATAATAGAAAAAAGGATTAAAACACTTGTGTTTCTTAGTTTTGATTTTGCAAATATATATATGAGTACCATAATTCATAAACTAATAAGAATTTTAATTTAATACAAAAAAAAAAAAAAAAAAAAAAAAAAATTAAAACAATTTTAAGATTTTAATAATGATAAAATAGATATATATTTTAAACATATATATATATATATATATATATATATATATATATATATATATATATATATATATATATATATATATATATATATGTATGTATATATATAATATATATATTAATATATGTTTCATTTTATTTTATATTATACATTTTTTTTTTTTAAGTATCTTTTTAACTTATATAAAGCTAGTAAACTTCTACATGTATTCTTTTTTTCTTTTCTTCATCAAAAGGTTCATTATTTTTTATAATTTCTATAATTTTTTTTCTTATAGATTTATGACCGCATATGTAAAGTTCACTTTTATTTACATTAAAAAGTTCTAGAAATTCTTTTTTTTTTCTAAATATTTCATCTTGAACGTGAAAAGACGTTCCATCCAAATTTTTTATAGATGAAAAAACATAATGAATATGCAAGTTATATGGATATATTTTTTTAAAATATTCTAGTTCATTTAAATATAAAATAGAATCTTCATTATATACACCATAAAATAAATGTATTAGACCATTGTAATTTGACTTTTTTTTCATGTTATTTTTATCATATCCTAAAATCTTTTTTAAAAAAGAAATATAAGGAGAAATTCCTGTCCCTGTTGCAATAAAAATTAAGTTTTTATTTTTTTCAACAACATCATCTGGTAAAAAAAAAGATCCATGAGATCCCGTTAAATATATGTCATTATTTTTTTTAATATTTTTTATGAATCCAGAACAGTAACCATATTTTAATTTTTTTACTCCGTTTTCTATGTCTTCATATTTATGAATCTTTATAGCAACAGATAAATTTTTAGAATCACCTGATGATATGGAATATAATCTCGCCTGTTTTTTTATTTTCCTACCATCATTTTTGTTACTATCTTCTGTACTATCATTTTCGTTATAATATGGTATAATCCCACATGATTGTCCTTCTAAATACTTGAATTTTCCGTTATGACATATTTCAATATTATAAACTTCGCTTAAAGATTTTTCTCTTACTAACTTTATTATATCGACTACTTTACACTTTAAAGGATTTTTAATAGTATATAAATTGATATAATTATTATATTCTTTATTATTATAATTTCTAAAATTTTTCTTTTTTTTAAATGTTCCTTCTAAAAATAATGTTCTATTATACATTCTCTTATTTTTCATAGCATATTTATGAACACAATTGTTATCTGAATATATTCCTTGTATTAGAAAAGATAATATTAATATGAAATGAATTTTCATTTAAATAAATCTTTGTTTTGCAGTTTTAAAAGAGTATTTTTTTCTACTTAAATAAAAACATATTTATTCATATATATATATTATACTGTTATGGTTAATATTTTACAAAATTTTTTATTATAAAAAAATCATATGAACAGATCAGTAGAGAATGAGGAGAAAAAAAAAAAAAAAAAAAGATATAAACTGTTATTTTTGTTAATTTTTACATTTTTCTTAATTTTTAAATAAATAAGAATATATATTTATTTTTTTTTTAAAAACGTTAATAATGATAATAATACTAATCTATGAAAATAATTCTATTCATATTATATTTATTTATAATAAATTCAAAAAGGATAAAAAACAAATTTATATAAAAAATTTTATTTAGTAAATAAAAATTTTGAAAGTTATTTTTCTTACGTTTCTCGTTTTATACCTTCAATAAAATGAACAAAAAATTACAATAAGTAAAAAATTTTATAATACACAACCTTTTCAATTAGTTTTATTTTTATATCTTTTTATTTCTTATTATTATTATATTAATGGCTAATCGATATATTTAACATAAAAATATCATTATTCTATTATTCTTTTTTCTATTTCATTTTTCTATTCGTAGAAATAATTCCTTTTACAAAAACTAGAAATTAATAAAAGAGTTATGTTAATTTTTATTTCTTCAAATTTCTGTTGAATTTAATGTTCTATCATTTAATTTTTTGAAGCTCTCAATTTTAATTTTTCAATTTGAACCTATTGAATTGAAATATATCTATCTATATAACATTTGTAAAAATTTTAATATTAAAAAAAAATAAAATAAAAATAATAAATAAATATATATATATTTATATATAAATATTTTCACAATTTTTAGTCTAAACTCTATATAATAAATATATTTAGTTCATTTTTTTGTTTTTCCTATTGTTATATAGTAATCTAATTTATTTAAGGTATATTATTTAAGAAAATAAAGAAATATATTATTTTACTTATCCTTTTAATTTACAAATCTCCTAGAATTTTTTTTTTTTTTTTTTAAATAATAATAAATGAGCAATATATGTATATAAATATTTTTGACTGTCATATACTTTAAAGAGGAAAAAATAATAAATTGTGATGTTTGTATTTTATAAAATAAAAAAGTTTTACTATTTTTTTAATTTTTCAACTTCACAAATCTCTTAAGTAAATATTATTTTCATTTTTAAATAGTAAATATTGTAATTTTTGTTATAATAATAAAATATACAACCATGAAATCTTCTCATAAATTAAAAATATGTGTACCTTTTTTTTTTTTTTTTTCTTAATTAAAAATACGTCTATGAAATATTAAAAAAAAAAAAAAAATAAATTAAAAAACAAAAGTAATATTAGAAATTATATTTATATATATATTTTTTTTTTTAATTTTACATTTTTATAAATAATTATGAAATAATTAAATTTTAAAAATGCATTAGATAAAACAAATTAAATGATTTTGAACAAATAAAAATATAATAATAAAATTGATAAAAATCTTAACGATAAATATGGTATATAATTAAACGACATAAGCAAAAGAAAAAAAAAACATATTGACGTTATATATAAAAAAAAATAAAACATTTATGTGTTTAAAAGTATGTCATTTAATCATCATAATTGTGGTATAATTGAGTATCCATACTAAAAAAAAAAAAAAAAAAAAAAAAAAAAAAAAAAAAAAAAAAAAAAAAAAAAAAAA